TATATATATATATATATATATATATATATATATATATATATATATATATATATATATATATATATATATATATATATATATATATATATATATATATATATATATATAAATTAGATTTTAATTTGAATAAATTATTATTATTATTATTAGTGTGCAACAATGGCAAATTTATGATATTATATATTACACTGGGCAAAATGCTGTGTATTTGTAATATAATAATCTTTATAATTTAAAATATTTAATTCAAAGTTTTCAAATTCTTTGCAACAGAGCAGACAGATGTATGTGCAAAATATTTATAAATATTGTACAACACAGAAAAAGTGGAAAAGTAAATAAAAATATTGTTATTTTTGATGATTTAGGCTTTCAAATACTTTATATCTGATATTTTGCAGCATAAAAAAACTCTGCTCCAAAACACAGCAGATGTTGTATTGTTGGATGTAGCCTGGCATACAGACTTCACCAAGCATCCCTCTTTGCTTTCTCGCACTTAAAGTGTTCCTCATTTCCTACGTCTGCTCGAAGGCTCATAAAAACACAATGTGTTTAGTGTGCAAGAAGGAGCCAATACAGCCTTAGAAAGAGAAATAATCAAAAGAGTTAACAGTGGGTGCTGCTCAGAAATGCTTCACTTGCCTGACCGGGAAACACCGCTAAATCACAACATGTCAGACTCAGAATGCCAGACTTTTTTGATTGGTTAAATAACCTTCACAGTATAAGCTTAAAGGCAAAGTAACACAGTGGTTAGTGTTCACAGTAATATTTCAGAGTTTGTTTTTTCAGACTAAAAGATAAGTGGAAAACATTATTCTTTTGAAATAGTTAAAAAATAAATGCTTTGAGATTTTTTAAGGAATATTCTGGTGTATAAAATCCAGTGTAAATAAAATATAAAGCACATTAATGACAATGAAAATGTATTAACAGGAGACCTTCAAAATTAATTTTAAAGCTGATTCTGATTTAAAAGCATTGTACATATTTCAAATAATGACTGCTTTATGTTAATAGAACTTAAAATGAAGATTGGTACATTAATTTATGCGTTTATGCATTAATTTATTTATTTATGCATTTATTTATTTACTTATTCATGCATTTATTTACTTATTTATTTTTTCATGTATTGATTTATTTATTCAGACCTTTATTAATTATATTTTTTTTAATTAATTTTCTTTATTGATATTTAATAATTATTTTTTATTTATGTATTTATTTATGCAATGATTTATCCATGTATTTATTTATTTATTTAAGCATTAATGCATTGCTTTATTAAATATTTTGAATTGTGAGTTTTACAAAGAAGCTGTTGGAAAATAATGCATTACTTTCAAGAGTCATTACTTGAAAAATCCCAAAGAAAGGTATAAGTATTGGCAAGTACAAGAAAAAAAAAACTAATCTTTAAAAAATGGTATAAGTGCATCCCTAATATGAAAAATCACAGAATATCATTTGGGACAAAAAAAAAAAAAAAACAGCACAATATGTTATTTACACAACTGCTAAAATTTATATTTGAAAAAAATAATAAAAATTCTATTAAAATAATTCTAATAAAGTCTATTTTGCATTTTTTTATTTATGCATTTATTTAGTTATGCATTTTTTTAATTTATGCATTTATTTATTAATTAATTTGCATTGTAAGTTTTACAAAGAAGCTGTTCAAAAATAACGGGTCCTCCCAAGTAATACTTGAAAAATCCCAAAGAAAATTATAGGTATTGGCAGGTAAAAGAAAAAATCAGTACTACTCTGTCTCTAAAAAATTGTATCGGTGTATCCTAAATAAATAATAATACAGAAGATCATTTGGGACAAAAACAGAATGAATAGTTGGATCTTACCACTCCAGTCATTCATTATCACCATGCCAAAGATGTGTTCATGAGCTTTCTCTATCGGGATGGGCTCTCCCAACTTATTGCCCTTTCCCACGAAGAATGCCTGAGGGACAAAACAGTACAGCTGAAGTCAAAATTATTAGCTCTACTGTGAATATTTTTTCTTCTTCAAATAATTCTCAAATCATGTTTAACATAGCAAGAAATGTTTGACAGTATTTCCTATAATATTGTTTCCTCTGAAAAAAGTCTAATTTGTTTTATTTCGGCTACAACAATAGCAGTTTAAATTTTTTGTAAAACCAATTTAAGGTCAAAATTAATATCCCCTTTAAGCAAAATTTTTTCCAGTAGTCTACAGAACAAACCATCGTTATACAACAACTTGCCTAGTTATCATAACTTGACTAATTACCCAAGTTAAGCCTTTAAATGTCACTTTAAGCTGAATACTAGTATCTTGAAAAATATCTGGTGAAATGTTATGTACTGTCATCATGGTAAAGATAAAATAATTCAGTTATTAAAAGAAGTTTTTATAAGTTATTATCAAAAATGAGATATTAAAACTATTATGTTTAGAAATGTGCTGAAAAAATCTTCTCTCCCTTAAACAGAAATTGGGGGAAATAAATATACAGAGGGGATAATAATTCTGACTTCAACTGTATATAAACTCACCATCTCCAACTCAATATCCAGCTGCTTGCTAGGTCCAAAGATGGGTGGCTGAGCTGAAAAAGAAAAACAGAAGATATAGTTATGACAAACACAGATTTACAGCTGTTTTAATGGATAGGCTTCATTGCAGGCTGAGTTTGCACAATATTAATAACCCTCAGTTAAAGACGTGTCAATAATGAACTCAACGGGTTTGCTGAACAGCCTATGCTATCGGTGATGCATACAAGCAAATGTCATATATTAAAGGGATAGTTCACCCAAAACTGAAAATTATGTCATCATGTACTCACCTTATACTTTGTTCCAAACCTTTAAGAGTTATTTTTTCTAAGGAACACAAAAGAAGATATTTTAAAGAATGTTGGAAACTGGTAACAATTGACTTCCATGGAAGTCAATGGTTACAGGTTTTCAGCTTTCTTCAAAATATCTTCTTTAGAGTTTAATAGAAGAAAAAGACTCATAAAGGACTGAAATCACTTG